AAACAACAGAAGATTGGCTACTAAGAATAAAGAAGATTTTTTATGGTATGCAATATCCAAAGAACAAGAAAGTGTCACTAACAATATTTTTATTTGAAGGAGAAGCCCAGATATGGTGGATATGACAACAACGGGAGAAATTTTAGGGAAAGATAAATATTGAGATTACCTAGGTAGAGTTTGTTACTATCTTCAAGGATTGGTTTGTACCTCCATCAACTTGACAACAAATATAGGAAGCTTTTATGAGATTTGAGCAAGGGAACAGAATAATGATGTAGTACATTTTGCTACACTGGCCAGATATGCATCCCAACTAGTCAATACTACTGTGAAAAAAATGTTATAGATTTTTGAGAGGATTGAAGGATGAGCTGAGGCATCCGTTAGTTCCATTGAGAATTCAAAAATTTTTAGAGTTAGTTGAGAGAGCGAGACTGGTAGAGAATGATTTGGCTATTCCCCAGCAAGATATGAGTAAAAAGATAGCAAGTGAGGAGATGATAAGAGGAGAAAGTAGTGAAAAAAGAAGTAGATTTATTGATGTTAAGAGCAGATCCGTGGTACCAGCTAGTAGTGTACAGGGGTGTCTCAAATATGGGAGGAGATATATAGGATAGTGTTATCTGATCACAGGATAGTGCTTTAGATGTGGTTAGTACATACACAAGATGATAAACTTCCCATAGCGAGGATTTAGGTCCAAGACAGATCAGTCTACAAAGGCATATGATCGAAGATTTATAGGATCTAGATTGTCTAGTCAAGATTATGTAAGCGAGATCAATGGAAGACAGACGAGTAAAAAAACATAGGAAACACACAAAATTAATAATGATGGCACCCCAAATATAGCTGATGGTATACAATTTAAGTCAATAGGAAGTGAGAGAAGCTCCAGAGAGGTCTATTGGTATAATTTCTCTTTCAAATATCATTATTTTGATTGAAATATATTAAAATTAATTAATTTCTATTTATTTGATTATATGATTGACATGTATATTGACTAATATACACACATAATTTATTTTGATTGATAAATGATATGATTGATGGTTGATATGAATGATAAGTATGACCAGTAATCTATTGTGAGAAATTTTGAGGATGATAATTTTTTAAAGTGGGTAGATTGTAATGACCGTTAGATTTCTATAAGATATATTTTAATATATAATAATCAAATAATATTTTAGGAGTAATTAAAAGTCTAATTTATAAATCATCTTTATCATATCATAGATATTGATGTGCTCTAATTATAATAATTTTTTTCCTAATTAAGTTTATATGTAGTGTTGATATGAAAAATGAGAAGCTTCTTATTTAACTGTAATTTCTTAAGAGTTTGACATATGTTGATACAAGTTTTTTTAGACCATTAGGTGTTTGTTTTGCAAATTAATTTCACCACAACTTTTTAAACATTCTGGGCTATTTTATAAATATTTTTTTTAATAATTTTTGGATCACTGAATTTAATGATATAAGAAGATTTATAGGGATTTCATACTAAAAACTAAATAATTGATATAATTACATTTATAACCTTAATAAATTTTATCATAAAAATCCCTTTCCACTATAGAACTCTTTATATACCTTTTTAGCATTCTTATTCGTTTTAAAGAAGAGAAGAAGAAAAATGAGAAGAAAAGAGAAAGAAAGAAGGGAGGAAGCTCGAGTTTGGAGATCATAAAGCTACTTTTGTTAGTATGTCCAGTTGAGAAATTTGTTCTTCTTGAGCATATATCTAATTTCAATGATTTTGTACATTTTATGTATTCTTAATTTTAATTTGGTTAGAATTTATAAAAGTTGTGATATCTCAATTTTTAGCAAACTTTTACTGTGTAATTTTTAGTATGTTATAGTCTTAATCATTCTGTACATATTGATAGGAATATATTAATTTTTATCAGATATTTGATCACATTATTTGTCACATTTTCTTATGATTATATGTTCATACTTATATTGATTGAATTATTGCTTGTATACTATTTCTATTGCCTTGTATTGATTTTAATTATAGATTCTAATAATCTACCGAGCTATTAGTTCACTATTTGATTTTATATATTTTCAAGAAGGGGTTAGGATCCAATAAAGTGAGGACAAATCTGAGATTCAAATTTTGTTTTATTTCTGCATTTCTTTAATTTTATTCTTTTGTAGTCAGGAGTTAAAAGAGAGACTGATGAATGCGTGGATTGAACTCTTAGCTATTGTACATAAATATTGAGAGATAAATATAATTTTATATTTTGATGTATGTGATTTTTAATTGTTTCCATTGGATTGATTTATGCTGATGAATTTATAGAAACTCTAATTGATTAACTAAAAAATTGAAATATGCAATTCTTCCAAAATTTGATCTTGTGTTATTACATGGATGATGAATATAACTAGAGAATGAATTAATAAAATAACTATTATTAAACCAATCACCTAAATCTATAATTATAAGAGATCATATTTTTTAGTAGGAGTGCCTTCAAAACCTAAGCTTGCAATTACTTAGCCAAAAAGGAAACTACCATGTTGGAGGAAGAAACCCTTTAATCTCTACTTTATTTGAGCTATGAAAAGAGTAGGTAAAGCTCATGAATATGGAAGGTCACCTCTATAGGAAAATTAATGCACATATAAACATAAAAATCATGTCATTATTTATTTTTGGAGGGCTCACATGGGGACTTTATCTCGATGAATTTGACCTATTATTTAGCTCGTGTGACCATTTTCCTAACAAATAAAGCTGATTACATAATCCCCACCAAATAATTTCACATGAAGACACATGTTTGAATTCCTATGAAATAGTTTTTTTTTTTTTAAATTGGTTAGATCTTAGAATTTGGAAATTAAAAATGTTAAAACACTATATTTAGATTTTTTTTATGCAAAAAAATCATCATTAAAAGATTTGAAATATGGCATCATGGTTGAGGAACTAGCCCAACTATTTGCTCTTTCTCCCATTAATTCTTTGGTTTAAAGTTTTCCTTATTGCTCACAAATCGCAATTCCCCCTTCCTCATCATCCTAAGTTCTTTTCCAAAATTTTATGTTTCATGAAAAGATTAATATCATATTGTATTCAAACTTTTTGTTGCTTTGCACTAACATATGATTTAGTAATACTTTTAAATATGAGTACAACTGTTTGATTTGAAATTCACAATTTGGCTATCATTTGATCATTTTTGAATGAAGTTACTCTAATTAGTATGCAAGTATATGATACCAAAGGTGAATTGATAGCTTCTTCATTCAAAGAATTCAATGTGAGGGAGAAGATGTAGGAACCCTTTATTGTCCTATAAAAGAAAAATTAATGGAGGAGCTAATTTTTCAGAAAACTTGACTTTGCTGGACTCATCTCTTATGGTTGAACAAAAATTAATCATGAAAAAGTTGGATTTCTTTCGAAAACGGATTACTTAAGGGGGATGAAACGAGGAACAATGAGAGGATGGAGGTTATGAAGATGAGATGATTGCGGATGAAGCAAGCATTCTTGCGGATAGAAACGTTAGTGAAATTAATTTAACTAGAGTCGAGCAATCTTTGAAGACTTCATTCAAATAAAGTAAAAGGTGGATATGAATATCGAGAGATGAACTTTTCTCAAGCTAAAAAAAAAAGATTATACTCTTTAACTCTTTTATTAGAGTAGCTATATGTTGCTTAACAAAAAGCTCAAAATAAATCTCCAATGACTTGAAGATATGTCATTTAATGAATGAAATGTGGCACGCGTTATCCATCCAATTAGCTAAAAAATTATTTTGAGCATGTGAACATTACTCTTTCATTTTTTAAAATAAAAAGTTACTCATTTTTGAATAATATTATTCATCTGTTTGATTTATTAAGAATTCAACACTGTGCACATCATTTATTATTTTCTCATGTATGAAATCCAACAAAAACATTTTAAATTAATATTCCTAATTATTTCTAACAATAGTTACCTATATTAGTTTTTATTCTATATTATTAAAATTTTATTAGTATGAAAAATATTAATTTCCTTTTGTTAGGAGGAAATAATTCACCCTCATTCATTTATATTCAATAATCAATATTAGGGACTATTTGACAATATTTTCTACTAGAATTTTACTTGTTCAAGCCTAAATTTAAAAAGTATTAATGAATTAATATTTCTTATTTCCACATTAGTCAATATTGCAAGTAGCTATCATTTCATTGACCATTTATATATAAAAAATATCTTCATCCTTTCTATTATAAAAAAAAAAACGTAAAAAGCGACATTATTTCATTATCCATAAATATTCTCATCTTTATTCAAGTCGTCCTCTCCTTGTATTTACTCGAGTAGTCGACCTCCATTGAGCATATACTACCACAATGCTGATCACGATCATGTCAAAGATGGCTCCCTCCCGTTCCTGCCATTCAAATTGCTTGTATCGCATGCCGCCGCAAAACATATATAATTTTCAATACCTATAAATTTACTGATACAACGTAAAACTTCTTCTACAACAGTTACATGATCATGTGAGCGGAGCACCATCATATAAAATTTCTTCTTCGATTAGAATTTGTTTAGATCGGTGAAAAAATAATTAACTTTTTCACATCAAAGATTATAATTGTTTTGATAGTTTATCCATTTTACTTAAAAATTACAATAGGCATCAATTTTAAACGTCTTCAAAATTACCATTTATAAATTTACTTAATTATTAAAATTTGTCTTTCCTGTTCAGAATTCTATCATAAAAATCGATTGTTTCGATTGAGATTTTATTTAATTAACTATAGGTTTAAAAAATATTTCAAATCCGTTGTAGTCTAGTTGGTTAGGATACTCGGCTCTCACCCGAGAGACCCGGGTTCGAGTCCCGGCAACGGAAACATTTTTATATTTTGCACGTGTTTTTGTTTGCCTTTTATAAGGAAGTTATGGAATTGGCCTCCATGTTTGCCTTTTATAACGCAGTTGTGGAGTTGTAAAGCTCTTAGGCCATTTCGAAACTGGGAAGCTTCCTATTTGAAGTTCTTTTCGGAGATGGCATAACCTCACTGTAATTTGGAAATATGAAAGAGGTTTCCTGCTTTCGTTTACAGTAACTCTCTTCAATTTCGTGAGTTCTGAGACGTTGTGGCGACAGCCAATTCATCGTCAAATAGAGAAGAGAGCTTTTTATTACGAATCTTCGGTAAAGTTTTTTGCCATAATCAATTTCTTTTAAAAGCACTCAATTTTCTCGGAAAAAGAGATTTTTTTCTTCACATTTCTCGTCTTTTTATAGAAAGAGAATGGCAGAGTTACTAACAAACCCTACTGTTCCCGTTTTCCTGAGTTCACTTTCCACATCAATTCGTTTTCGCCAGATACTAATGTCATGCCCATAAACTGTTTGTTTGTTTGCTCCAGCAAAAAAAAATAGTAATAATAACCGACTCTCTTGTCTTCTTGCATGATAAATCTCGAACAACCACTGAACAATTCATTGGCTTTTCTCGGAATTTGAAAATTGGCTCTTAGTTTGTTCTTTTTGAAGGATATTATATTATGGCAATGCAGATATGCAAAACATAGGTGACTTGATAGCCCCAGCTCTGCTCAATGACATCGATGGAAACGATGAGAAGGAGGAGGTCATCCTGGATGATGATTCTATTGCCGCATGGGAAGGATTTATAGAATCAAAGTCGATGGCAGAACTGATTTCTCCAGAGGACTTGGAGTGGGTGGACTCTTGCCTTGTGGCTGAGCCAGAATTGTCCATGGAAAGCTGGGCTTCTCTTAAAGAAGCGCTAATTGATAGTGTCACTGCTTTTACTGATTCCTACGAGGTGAACAATGCAGATGATCTTGATGAGTCAGGTAATGGCGAGAAAATGGAGGTTGATAAAGAAATGGTTCTTGGGAAGCCAGAGATTGCTAACGATCAGGGAGATTCTGCTCACGTTGGAGCACGGATGAACTGCACTGGAGGGGATGATCGTAATGATAGAGATGAGGGAATTCAAAAAGAGATCGAATCACCGGAGAGTATTTTCAGGGTGTGGGATCTCCAGGAAGAGCAGGAAGGAAAGGAGCATGAGCTGATACCTGAACTAACGAGAGCGGTTTCAGATCTTCAAGTGGCGAAGGAACGGGAGGATGAGTTCTTAACTGAGCTGAAGCAAGCAGTTGCAGAGAGTATTCTCAGGGATAAGCAAAGGGAGGCCATTGGTGCAGCAATCACAGCTGAAGATGGAAAGCTAGATGACATCATTTCAAGTATGGGCGATTTATCACTCTAAGCCGTCCTCCAAACAAAGTTATCTGAATTATTTCGTTTGAAGTAATCTGATGAAAAAGTATTTCGTAAAGATTTAGTTAGTTTTAGGCTGTTGTCTGTTTCAGCACCGTTCCTTCATCTTTTTATATGCCTTTTGGTAGATTGCTTGCAGGCTGTTCTGAACCCATATACAGTGCGAAGGAATGAAATCTGTTAGTTTGTAATTGAAGTTTTATACTATGAAAATGGTTTCTTTAATGTGATTTTCTACTGAAATCTTCGGTAACTATCGATTTATGGCTTCTATATATTGTTAGGGCATCTCCAACCGAACATCAAACATGCATTTTGCGTCCTTCGGTCGCTCCAGCCGAATGTCAAATCTTCTGCTATTTGCTTGCAAGTGAACATTGTGACGCTGTTCACCCCACACGATTTTTCTATCTCTATCTGATTTGCCAAAAAAACACACGAAAGAGGAGAAAGACAATTACCTTCACAAAAGCACACAAAATGTAATTGAATTGAAGATGAATCACAACATTTTTGAATTTCACTACATTTTGGAGTGAAAAATGGAATTTTCGGTTGGAGATGCCCTTAGCTTCTGTTTGAATAGCTTGCAATATTTTTTATCTTTCATCTTAAATTATACTTTTTGTATCAACAAAAAAGGCCTGAAGTTTAAGAGGAACTATATATCTAACTTAAATCTCATCTGTTTACAAAATTAAAATTAGTAATGAGAAAATTATCATACTAGGCTTATAATGGAGATCTGAATGAAAATTGATAGCTTGTGATGTCCCCAAAATGACACATGCACTAACATATTAAAACAATGTAATTAGAAACATGAAAGACATATACAAAAGATAAACCACAATAACACTACCATCTCCAACCCCTTTGAGTCTCCAGGAAAGTCCAGAATCAGTCTCGATCATGATCACAAATTTACATGTCAAAGTAGATGGGTCCTTGCTTGTCAAAGTAGCTAGATTATTGAATCCACAAGCTACTTCATCTTGATCATTCTTCTGGTAGTAGCTGTTGAAAGCGTAAGAGATATTACCCATTGCATCAAGATCACCACATGAAGTCTTGTATCCAAGGCTTGTGCAGTCTGCGTTTGCACAGGCATAGCTGATGCTAGGTGCCACATTAGCATCGCTGAGGCTTATAGTAGGCTTGAAAACACACCATTTCTTATCCAGGTATCTGATATTCTTAGCTCTGGCAAGACCAACATTTCTCATTCCAAGATTTAGTTGATACTTTGGGATACCATCAAAAGTGTAGACACCCCAGTGCCTCTCAAAATTGCCTGGCTGTATACTCTTTTCATCTTCATCAATCAAACTAAAGATGTAGGCATCAATGGGTCCAGGCCTCATCGGAGTCCCTTGCCCAGTTGATATATGAGTCATGAAGCCCTGAATGAACTTCTGAGCAAAATTAAGGTTTGCATTCATGTCTCCATCAGTTGGCCAACCTATTTCTCCAACTATGACAGGAAGATTTCCAAATCCATTCTTCCTCAAAGCCCATATGAGAGTGTCATGGTTAGCATCAAAAACGTTATTGTATGTTGTGGAGCCATCAACCACTGGTGATGAAGTCCCATCAAAGAAGGCATAATCTACTGGAAAGTTGGGGTCATTGTAGAGGCTGATGAAGGGATATATGTTGACAGTGAAAGGGGCGCCATTATCACTTAGGAACTTAATAATGTTAAGCATGAGGTCATGGATGTCTGAGCGGAACTCACCATCAGAAGGCTGGCCAGTCTTTGATTCATATACATCAGCGTTAAGAGGAACTGTGACCTTCACCTGGCTGCTCAAACCTGTCTTTATTAGGGCTCCTTGGATGTTCTGGAGTGCAGGTAGAGTGCTTTGAATAAAGCTTCCATTGTAAGTCTGTAGGAAAGGTTCATTTCCAACTGCAACATACCTGTAGATGGAAAAGTTGTTTATGAAGTTTAGTGAGTCAAGAGAGGCACTAATATCAATAATAGACACCATGTGAAATGATTTTGATACTAAACTAAAAACTATAGAATTACATTGAATTAAGGGTGTCAACTTGCTCAGGCAAAAATAAAGCTAGTATGATCAAATATTAGATAACTTTATCCATTTTTCATGGAAGGCAAGAGGGTTACTACCTCGTAATGTTACTAATGACCATGTGATTCGGAAGCTTGTAAAAAATTCTCTGCCTGGAGTGAAAAAATTCCTCACTTTACTGAGCTTTGGATTTGCTCTGCTCCCATTTGCATTATTATAAATGCATCATATCATTCCATAGAAATTTGTTGGGCTACACTATCTATAAGGCTAAAGGATCTTTATGGTGTTTCTATAAATGATGTCAAAATTATGCACCGCGTATCATACAATGTAGGCTTCGTTTGGGACGGTTTTCTTTTTGCTTTTTAAAGCAGCTTCCTAGTACAAAAATTTTAACTTTTGTACTAGGAAACTGGTTTAAGAAGCAAAAAGAAAGCCGTCACAAACGAAGCATTATGTTTAAAAAAATTCGTTCACCAGCATAACAACCCACTAACTTCTATTCAAATAAAGGCAAGACCCATTACGGAGGTAGAGGATGATTTTGTTTGTCTTAGCATTACACAACATTCAATGCACAGATAATTGAGGATTACAATAGTCACAACTTTTTTCAAGTGAAAATCTAAGAAGGAGAAAACCATGGGAAAATCAAAAGGAAAAAAGCACGGGATTTGATACAACTAACATAAACTACCATATAAATTCATTGTGCACAAGACCCAACACTTTCTCTAAACTGGAAAAGGTGAAATTAGAAATCCTGGACTGCTTTAGAAATCCTGAGAGTGTACTGGGAAATGCTGGAGGAATAGTAAGTGATGAACACCATTCTTGATCGACGGCAAGATCAACTTTCAAGTAAATGATGATTGAGAGACTAAAATCGAGCAACAATGGCCAAACGATGATGAGTTTTGATGTTGGTTGATATTTGACAGCATTGGTCAGGCAATGGTGGATGCTGATAGTTATTGGCATTGGTTAATGATGTGCAAGTGAATGGTTGTTAGTGTTCGGTGGAAACAAAAAGTTTAATTCTTCAAATTTGAGCATTCTCTCCACTTGATGGACCCTTCAAGTGTGAAATGAAAGCCTATTTATTGATTTTTGGTTGGAGTGTTTTATTATTTTTGTTAAATCCTAACAACTCCATAGGGCAACCTAGTATAATATTCCTTGAACATTTAATATTTGTTGAGCAGGGAAATGTCTTAATGATATTAGAATTAATTAATTTTGAGTTTATCAGATTCATCTCGTCGAGATATATATATTTCGACTACGAGAATGATTCTAAAAAAAAAAATCAAATGATCCTAAAATCGGTTATGAAAGTTTTTTATTCAATTACTTGAGCACTTTGAGATTTTGTAATTCATCAAAATCCGTGTTGATTGAATGACTTTTTGGGAGATGTCAATGATCATGTGACAACTACCTCTGCTGACTTGGCAATAATTAGTGACAATATGCGGATTTCTTTCAATAAAACCTAGAAATAATTTGATTATTCTACTTTTCAACACTAGGCCTCCATATCTATCTTTTAGGTTTGTAGAAGTTGTCATCACCTCAGTTATTACTACCGCAAGTTTAATCAACAAGGTTAAGCTCCCCAAATGATTGTAGCAAATTAACACTGATTGTAGCTAACAATTCTTAATAAGAAGGTCCTCTAAATGACCATGCTTATATAAATAGGTTCACCTATATATTGTCACAACCCGGCCCGGCTAGCTCGAATTAACGGGGCGGGAATAGATAGTCGTACGATAAGCAGTAACATTTTAACATTTATCCAACATAAACATAAAATAAATTTCATTCCAAAACGACATAAAAGAGCCACTAATCCATTCACACGGTTTGGTCGAAACCAAACCCCTACCTCATCGCACGATTTGGCCGAAACCGAGAGAAATGAAGAGAGGAAGCGAAAGGCTAGGGTGACGGGTCAAGGGTGACGACGGCTCTGGCAATGTTTTTCCGACGAGAAAAAACTAAAGAAATCGTGGAGGAGACTAAGGGGAAGAAAAAGGTATGATTATTTTAAGCATTTCTCCTCTCTTTTTCAAGATATTTGAAAAGGAAATTATTAGAGTTTTTTCCAAAAATGTATTTTTTTTTCTAAAATTTGTTTACGAAATCAATAGGGAAGATTGAGGGAGATGTTTTACGGTAGAAACGAATTTTCCTCAAATTATTTTGAGTTTTAAAAATTAGGGTTTTCACCTAAAATTGGAATTTCTTAAGCCACTTTTCCAAAAACGATACGATTTCTATGAGTATTAGGAATGTTTCTAAATCAAAATTTTGATTTTTTTTAAGAAATTGCATTTTTCATAATTTTTTAATTAAATAATTCCGAAAATTAATTAACCTAATTATTAATTAGATTTAGAAAAATGTTTCACTTAATGATTTAAGTGAAATTGAGGATTTAGGGTTTCCAAAAATTAGGGATTTTAATAAATCCGAAAATTAAGATTAAATTATGTAAATTTTATCAAATATCGTAAGGAACAATTAATGATAAACGAAGAATTTAGACAATTTGAAATTTGATTAAAGCTTAAGAAAGATTTATTGTGACACGTCTTTTTATGTGATTATTATGTTATGATATTTAAGGAGAGCGAAGTGTGTAAAAGCGACACTAAGGAGGTACTGTGTTTGGATTAAGGTAGGTAATCATATCTATTGTAAAAATTTTATATTTATGCTTTGTTCTATTATTTCAATGCAAATCTTTAGAATTTTCAAGTTATATGGTTCACGAATTTTATTTTGGCAAATAACATGTTAAAGTTTTTTTATTTCATGATATTAGTAAGCTTTCATGTTATGATTTAAATTCATGATTTTCATGTTTTAAGCAAATGATAACTGAATCATGATTATTTTTCTTTAAGCATATGTGATGAGGACATCGACAGACACTGCCGACATGTTTATCGCCGGCGAAATCGCAGATCGACGGCCACGATTCAACGCCTCTACTTTTGATTTCAATGTCATGATGTATTATTTAGTATTTGCAGTTTTTCCATTTTTACCCCTGTGGGGAATTGCTTTGTTATTGTAGCCCAGAGGGCAATTTCGTACTTTCTTTTTTTATGAGTTGAGGCCTATATATAGTGGTCTCATATGTTGTATGATGGTTAATTAATATTTTGAATGAAATTTATTTTGATTATCTTTTTCTTCTTCTTCTTGTGGAGAGTTAGAGAGGAGAACGAGAGCCCAAGGTGTGGGCGAAAAGCAATACCCACCAGTCATTGGAAGAGTTCGTGACTCGTGGTTTATCCCCATCATCCGATCCTCGCCCCTTTTCCAACCCACCAACCCTAACCCATCTTGGCCACCAATCACCCCACCTCCTCCACCGCAGGCCTTCTTCCCCACTCCCCACTTGTTTGAATTTTGAAAATACAAATTATTTGAGTTAAGAAAATTTCCAAATATGTCAAGCCAAATATGAAAAGTTTTCAAATTCAAAACAATTCGAATCAAAGTGGATCTCTTAATCAAACCTCATCATGCACACAAGCAAATTTGGAAGGTTTGTAATTTGCTTCCACATCCTCCCCTCTCCCTCTTGATGCCGCCGGCCTTACTAGGCTTCCCCCCTCCTTAATTGCTCCATTAATCCCTCATCAATTTGAAATTAAAATTTTTAATTTCAAATAAAACTCCCTCCCAAATTTCAAATCCTGAAATTTATTTCAGCATTTGTTATTAAAACTCCTCCCTCTCCTCTCTTGAAACCGCCAGCCTCCCCCATATTAAGCTCCCCATTAATTCCCCATTTAAGGCTTTAATTACAATTGATTTGAAATTCAAATTTCAAGTCAATTCCCTCCTAAATTACTCAAAACTGAAATTAAATTTCAGATTTGACTAATCTCTCCCATAATTTCCTAAACCTATTTTCTCCAAACCCTAACTCCCCCCCTTGCACCCGCCGGCTTCACCCTCTCCCCTTGAGAATCCCGTCAGCCCCTTCCCTTTTTTTCTCCTTCTCTCGTGCATTGAGAAGCCTAGAGACGAAGAGGACGACACTTCTCCTATTCTCTTCAATGTTGAATGACGGATCCCGAGCTTGAATGGGGTCTTGTATTCAACACCGACGGAAGCATCAACATCCTAAGATCTCCGTGCTTTGACGTGGGATTTGAAGACGAAACTACTGTTGAAGAATATTTGGAGCGAGTCGTCCCGATTCTTGCAAGCATCATCGACCGACGATTTTCAAGCTACGATTGGAGCCTAATCGGCCACCCACTACGTCCATCTCCACCAACAAAGTTCTTCGGCGCCATCTTGGTAGTGGTAATATCTTTCATTATTTGGCTCACCTTTCTCCGCTAAAGCCTACAAGTAGTTGAGTGATAAGGCCTTGAGGTGAACCTCTCATTGTTAAGTGTGGGGTTATGTTATTTATACTTTGCATTTAATATTACCTTAGTTTTTGAAATGATAGTCTTGGTTATTCTCTATTGCTAATCTTTGGCCTAAGCAAGTTAAATTTTTCAAATTCTTAACTCTCTCTTGCATGATTGAAATAAATTTATAAGGGCTAACTTAAAACAATTTTCTTTCTCATTTCTAAACATAACTCCTAGTAGTTTCACATCAATATGATTGACTAAAAAGTAAATATGAAATTGTACATGTTGATGCGGAATGCCTAAAATGATAAAGGGGCTCAATAGAGCCAAATGATAAAGGAGGCTCATCAGAGCGAAATGGTAAAGGAATGACCAAATGAATGAAAATGTGTACATGATCACTACAAATTTTATGGGCACCTCCGAGACGGGTGATATAGTAAACGTTATGCATATTATGTTATATATATATATTCTAAGCAAAATA